GTTTGTTACGCCTATGCCACCTAGTGGGAACTAAAGTAGGCTTAGGCTATATAAAGCTCTGCCAGGCGGCAGAAGCTCTCTTCTCACCTAGTGCATACTCAAAGCTGTAGCATACCAAGTGTGGCTATAATAAAGCATGGTGTTGTAACATATAAACTGTGAATTCAGTACTTCCATCAGTATTGTAACATGGTGTCAGAAGTGGGATTGTGTGTGCCTCAAGAATAGCTGAAAGCAAGACAAACATGGAACAGCTCAAGCCACCAGAACCACTACACATTGATGCTAGAAATTTGGCTCAAGCCTGGAAGAAGTGGTGGGAGGAGTTTGAACTGTACATCGCTCGCATTAGAAGGGAAAGATGAGAAGGTAAAGAAAAAAATGTTCTTGTACCTAATCAGAGAGAGAGAGGAAGGGAGATATACCCGACTCTGCTCATCCCAGTAGCAGAAGAGTTTCGCACTGTACAGCACATGACTCCAATGTCCGTGCGTTCTTACAGCGGTGCAGGGAGAAGAACCTGAAATTAAACCTGGGAAAAACGAAGCTCATATATTGGGCACCTTCTCACTAGTGAGGGCCTGATGGCAGACCCAGAAAAAGTGAGAGCAGTGGAACAGATGCCACCCCCTCGGGATGTACCAGCTGTCAGACGACTCCTTGGGCTAGTGAATTACCTTAGCAAGTTTGTACCCAAAGTAAGTGCTTTGGTGGAACCAATGAGGGTGCTGACACAAAAGAACGTTGAATGGCATTGGGAGGAAAGGCAGGAACAAGCCTTTAGAGAGCTGATGTTGCTATTACAGAAGAGCCGGTGCTTCGGTGCTTTGACCCAAGAGAAGAGGTGGTAGTGCAGTGTGATGCTTCAGAGAAAGCGTTAGGTGCAGCGCTTATGCAGAAGGGGCAACCCGTCGCTTTTGCAAGCAGAGCCCTTACAGACACAGAAACTCGATACGCACAAATCGAGAAAGAGCTTGCATGTGTCTTTGGAGTTACCAAGTTCCACCAGTACGTATATGGCAGGCCATTTGTGGTACAGACCGACCATACCACTGGAGAACATTATGCAAAAGCCGCTCCATGCAGCTCCGAAACGACTGCAAACCATGTTGGTAAAGCTACAAGGCTATGACCTAGAGTTGAAATACCAACCTGGCCCTACTCTGTACCTGGCAGACACGTTGAGTAGAGCATATATTCCAGCAGATCCTGAACTGGATAACTTCGAGAAATATCTGAATAATGTCAATGTGCTGAGTTACCTGCCACTTTCAGAAAGTAAGCTCGAACAGATCCGTGCTGCTACTGAACGCGACTTGAGAGTACTTAAGTCTACTGTTTTCGAGGGATGGCCCCAAAAGAAAGATATCGTGCCGGGAGATGTCAAGCACCATTTTAGTCTAAGAGACCAATTGTCGGTGCACAACGGAATAATCTTGAAGGGTGACCGCGTGGTAATTCCCAACTCGATGAGAAGTGAAATGATGGACCAAATACACAGCTCACATGTTGGCATTGAAGGCTGCCTAAGGCGGGCTAGAGAGTGCCTGTATTGGCCAGCAATGAATTCTGAAATTCGCGATTTCATTGCTGCATGTGAAATCTGCAACTCAATGCCCAGGAAGCAGCAGAAGGAGACGTTAGTGCCACATGATGTGCCTGAGCGGCCATGGGCTACAGTGGGAACAGATCTGTGCTACATCGATGGGTTGAATTACCTCGTCACCGCAGATTACTACTCAAACTTTATTGAGATAGATTATCTGGAGGATACCAGAGCAGAGACGGTAGTCACGAAACTAAAGGCACAGTTTTCACGCCATGGGATACCGGATTCTGTCGTGAGCGACAACAGCCCACAGTTTTCGTGTGATGTGTTTGCGAACTTTAGCAGGAAGTGGGGTTTTGAGCATAACACCTCATCTCCTCGGTATCCGCAGAGTAACGGTAAAGTAGAAAATGCGGTGAAAACGATCAAGAGTCTAATTATCAAGATCAAATATAAAGTATCATAAATAAGTCAAAGATGGCAAAACCTTATCCTTGCTAACCTAGCTATTCTGGACTTCAGAAACACTCCAACCCAGGGAGTAGGATCGTCGCCAGCACAAAGAATCTTTGGTAGGCGTACAAAGACGTTGCTACCCACCACTGCAGCTCAACTCAAACCCCGAAGTATACCGCATGACTGCGAGAGGGAGAGGATCACCCTACTAAAACACAAGGCAGCGGATTATTGCAATAAGACTGCAAAAGATCTATAAGAGAGTTGTCACAAGGCGATGTAGTACAGGATACAGCCTGCTCCAGGGGGAAAAGAATGGGTTAAGGGTCGCGTTTTGGAACAAAGTGACAGTGTTGGCTGAGACTACGTGGTTAAAACCAACATGGGGACATATCGCAGAAACCGTGTTTATTTGAGGCGATCAGCAGAAAGAGCGGACAATTAACTCTGCTCAACCGTCAGCTATTCCAGCGACCACCACCAATGACATCCATCAGTCCAGCCAGAACCAGATCCTGGTGGACGGTCAGGAAACCAAAACGTTATATGGACGAGTAGATAGCAAAGAAGCTACCACTTGTAAATATTTAATAGTTATATGTTAGTGACATTAAACTTAAAGAATAAGTAACAATGTGAGTTTAGTTGTAACGACGTCGTGGTAGATCTTTAGTGTGAATTTGTAAAGTTTATAATATTGTTTATTTTATTAGAATTTGGTTGATAATGCCTTGAGATCCATTAATCTACTTTTCTCAATGTATAACGTCTTTACTTTATTTGGAATCTATATCACCTGTGCACGGTATGTGTCTCTTCAATAAGAGGAAAGATGTGACAACACGTCGTTATAAACAAACACCTGAGCTAAATTTACGCCTATGCCACCTAGTGGGAACTAAAGTAGGCTTAGGCTATATAATAGAGCATAATATTGTAGTGTGTTTGGTCTACCTAGAACTGTTTTTTGGAGATTTATAAGCGGTTTTAGATCCATATATGAGGTGCGACAGGCAGAGTGATGAGTGTATTTGCAGCTTTGTATTTGTGTGTAGTTGACCCCGTATCTGTCTGAGGAAGCTAATACTTGTATTCATCTTGTCTACTATGTAGTCAGTATGGTCATTCCATGGTAAATGGTGATCTATTTTCATACCTACAAATTTTACTGTTTTCGATTGTGGTATCGAGTTGTTACTTTGTGGTAACAGCAGTTTTTACCAGCCCTTGCCATAATTTACCAGCCCTCAAAATATTGTTTTCAAAAACAGTCACTGACTCTTGCTTGTTCGAAAAATGTTGTAGTGTGAGGCATCGCCTAGTAGCTGTTGAACAGACTATAATGCAGATTATGAATGATGTCCGATGTGTTTTTATCAATGTCATTTTTCACACTTTCATTCTATATTTCAAATTTATAAATGTTTATAAATTATGGCATGATATCCTTCAGGTAAAACAGTATTGTAGGCTATTTGCTCATTAATGCTATAAATAAAAATGTAGGTACTCGCTAACGCAGCTGAAACCACCGGCTCTGAGGGTCACTAGAGATGTAACTGGCCCTCCAAATAATTTGCCGGCATGTGCCGGTGGGCCGGTGCTAATTTCGCGCCCTGTTTGTGAGCAGGGTTAGGCCTTACGCCACTATTAGCATTAGTGATATCATCATATCATCGTGGTAGGTTGTGGTATAGAAGTGCCCACTGCAATCCGGTATAATTCTTTATATGCATGAACTGAGATTTTCATGAATGACTTTTTCTTGTGCCCTACTTGAGCTAGATCTGACAGCACCGGGACAGGCAGAAGTTTCAACAGTCATTGATGAGAAGAAGTCAGCATTCCCTCCTCAGCATTGCGAGGAGCATATTCCAGAGAAAGAAAGTGCTGAAAAAGTAAAAGGACTAAGGGAAGAGGCCCCAACGGAAACAGGGGATGATGAGGAGGAAGACAATGATATTGACGAGCAAGTTCTATTTGAGAAGAGGGCTAAATTGCACTATATCGAAGCAGGTGCCTATGAGGTATGTCCATAATGGCTGTACAGTACATTGGCATTACAGGTGAAAGAAATACTGGGTAATACTAGAAAGTGCCTGCTCAAACCCAACGTAATATTTCCTGTGCCCTAAAATATTTTAAATTAGACACTTTCTATTGAAAATATCTACTGTTAATTATTTATAGTATGGATTTCATGAAAGACAGTTGTGCAGTTTTAAGTTTTAATACGTCCAATATTAAATAATAATGATGCCAACAACAAGTGCCATGACCGTTAGTCTTGGGAATCATCAGCGTACACAGGTAACTGAACACTGGCTAATATACCTAGCTTATAAAAACTACAGATCGCTACATGATTTCATAAACCCCTCATGGTTCCATATCAGTCAGATTCTATTAGATAGGGAAACAGAATCATACAGCAAGACCACTTGCAGGCAAGTGAAAAATCACACACCTTGGCTTGCCGAGGTGTGTGATTTGCATCCGAGTGCCTGCAGGGCACGAGGCAAACTAGGGGGGTTCGGGGGCATGCCACCCCCCAGAAAAAAAATTGAAATCTAGACTTCATAAAATGCCATTTCCAGCATTTTGGGATAAAAATTAGCTCTGCATTTGTACTCTTAATTTTGACATTTTTTAGGTGATTTTTTTTCCATCTAACATAATATCAGTTTTTGAACATGTGGATAACTTGAACCACACATTAAGCATGTTTAGTCAAAAAGGAACAACACTCAATTTTTCAAAGCAGACTATTAAAACTTTATATAAAAATACAACCAATCACATTCGTCGTTCTAGAGCGCTTTGCAACTGTCGTTATAAACATGTGAACCGAATTCCGGCAATGTCTGTGATGTTTACAACCGTTTGCGTTTATCTTCGAGTTTATAAGTTGAATTAATGAAAAATAAAACACGAAAAAAGAAAAGAAAAAAGGTGTGCGTTTTGATAATGCTTAGATGCGCGTTTTTTCACACTTCTCCTGATCAATCGAGGCGCGCGATGCCGAGCGAGCGCGATCGCGCACCTTAAAACACAAGGGCTGCATTTGATCATTATACAAATTAATTTTAATTGTGTCACGTAAAGTAAGTACAGAACAACTTAACAACAGTTTGTAACCACTTGGACCGTATGTGACAAGCTTCACGTACTTTATCTGTGTGTGCAGGTACATCACAAACTGCACACTACTACGAAGTATATTCCCTTAGTTGAAGGTGATGCCGACATGACACAAAATTATGAGTTAATAAAATAATAAGCCACTAAAATCTAAATACATAGAATGTAATTTCATAAATGTAACATACACTTTCCATACAAGAACATGTTGTTTAAAGGGACAGTAGCCTCTAGGATTTTACTGCATACAACTGTAATTACTGTATAACAAAACGTCTATAGTATACCCACACGTATTTCTTACCAGATACCTAATTTAATTGTTATAATTAATTACACATCAACGCTACGAAATTTGAACGGCGCGATGACACCCGCGACCGTGCTGCCACCAAGGGCGTTGGAACTGCCGCGGCACTTTTTTCAGGCCATAAATTTTCCGTAACCAAAATCTTTCAATAATTTATACCGTCTTTTGGCCGGTACATATATCATGTATATACGTGTAATCTAGGCCCCTATAAGCAGAGACCAGGGTCAGATGAGGTCAGGTCACCTGTAGCTATAAAATTTTATGATCCAGAACTCTGGCACACATTCCTCTGCTCCCCGTCTACTCCTGATTCTATGCAGGCAGCATGCCGTTGCGTTATATTGAGGGAGCATGCTTTGCCCGGGGTCAGCGCGTTTCATGACGAATATTAACAGTTCGTTTGTGAGCACCAGTACAATTGTATGCATGTCTTGAATGGGAATGTATTTCAGAAAGTTTTACCAAAGATTATTCCACTGTTAAAGTGAGAAAAATAAATTTGGAGTTTTTGGTCATTATTGAATATTTTAATTCTATGTTAAGCAACAAATCTTTCAAATCATCATGTATTTTTCTAAAATTACAGTGAAACACACTTTTTTGTGCTAAATCACAATGCTCAGAATGCACCAGAGCCCACCATTTGCCTTGTAGATTTCAAAATTTTCACGGGGGAAGGCATGCCCCCAGACCCCCCTAGGGTGGCTTCGCCTCCCCGGGGCTCGCCCTATCACCAAAGCCGCGGCACTATTTTATTGCTTCCGACGCCTTTGGCTGCCACCCCGAAAAAGTTGCGTATTTGACAATTTATTTTGCACGTTACAGACCGAGGGCTAATCACAAAAGTGCAATTATATTTATACCTAAATGCTATTTAACCGAACGATATTCATTTTAGGGCAAATTTATCCATATTATAACTGAAACTATATGTCGTTTATAAGATATTACAATCCTTTTGCTTTTAAATGAATAAATAAGAAACACCGTCGGTCTGTAGCCCTTGGCTGGAAAGTGGTTTTGCGCAACTTATCAGATCGTGCGCTTTGAGTGGCGCCACCGTCGTTGTAATCAAACTGTAGTCGTTAGTTTTAAAACATTTTTTAATAATATTTCTAATAGTGATTGAACCATGAAACTTTTTATGTAGCGTAATTTTAACCTAAATTAACTGAAAATAACCCTAGAACCTAGAGTAAACTCTTCCTTTAAGCTTAACCTAAAGGTTGCACAGAATATACAGCACCTTGACAGAACCGTTAGTTTACATATGTGTTGCGTAAACACAGCATATAAGTAAAACTGTGTGTACCATGCTGTAATTATATAACAGTTATCATACAAACGTAAACGCCACATAAATCTAGCGTACAACTAGAAGCGTGTACTGTATAGTGTGTGAAATGTGCTGAGCAGCTAGCTATCTCGGTACCTATTCTCTGGCACATACTTGAAAAGAGGACATTAGTCTGATTGTATGCACTGCCTAGTCAATTTGTCTTTGTACATCACTGTTCCACTAAATATCTTTATAGTAGATGTTTTTGCAGTAGGATTGATTCCTGGCTGTGTTGGATCATGTCTCAACCAGACATTTTCATAACGTGTCCTCCCAGGACAACTGTCTCTGAACCCCACTGTACAAACCCACTCAGTCGACCGTTGCCAAATACTTCTTGCTCGTCCGTGCACACTGTGACAACACGTTGTTATAAACAAACACCTGAACGTTTGTTACGCCTATGCCACCTAGTGGGAACTAAAGTAGGCTTAGGCTATATAAAGCTCTGCCAGGTGGCAGAAGCTCTCTTCTCACCTAGTGCATACTCAAAGCTGTAGCATACCAAGTGTGGCTATAATAAAGCATGGTGTTGTAACATATAAACTGTGAATTCAGTACTTCCATCAGTATTGTAACATGGTGTCAGAAGTGGGATTGTGTGTGCCTCAAGAATAGCTCAAAGAAAAGCTGTTAGTGCTACTCTTATTCAACAAGCTACAGCAAGACAAACATGGAACAGCTCAAGCCACCAGAACCACTACACATTGATGCTAGAAATTTGGCTCAAGCCTGGAAGAAGTGGTGGGAGGAGTTTGAACTGTACATGGAGCTCGCATTAGAAGGGAAGGATGAGAAGGTAAAGAAAAAAATGTTCTTGTACCTAATCAGAGAGAGAGAGGAAGGGAGATATACCCGACTCTGCTCATCCCAGTAGCAGAAGAGTTTCGCACTGTACAGCACATGACTCCAATGTCCGTGCGTTCTTACAGCGGTGCAGGGAGAAGAACCTGAAATTAAACCTGGGAAAAACGAAGCTCATATATTGGGCACCTTCTCACTAGTGAGGGCCTGATGGCAGACCCAGAAAAAGTGAGAGCAGTGGAACAGATGCCACCCCCTCGGGATGTACCAGCTGTCAGACGACTCCTTGGGCTAGTGAATTACCTTAGCAAGTTTGTACCCAAAGTAAGGCTCATAGGGTCTATGTCCCCCAGGGTACTGCCGGAACGTACCCTGGGTACGGTCTGGTATACCGGAACGTACCCTGGTCCCTATTTGATATGGTTAGGATTAGGGTTAGGGTTTGGGTTAGGGAGTAGGCGTAGGCGACTCCCTAGACTCGTTAGTGGAGTAGGCGTGGTACGGTTCGGCATATTAGA